GAGAGAAAAAGAGAGAGAGAGAAAGAGAGAGAGACATATATACTGAGTGATGCTGCTGCTGAGTGTGTCTGAGGTAAAAGTCTTCCTGCTCTGCTTCACGTAGACTCATTACATCCTCCGCCGTGCACAGACAACGTCACACCAAACTCCACTCAAAAATCACTCATTTTAACGCTGCCCTGTGAGCTGGCAAACACGCGTTGTTTGAGGAACTTTTATAACTTTTATAACAGATAATATCTCCATTTAAAAGCCTGAATTTGAACATTTTAACAATCTTGTAATACACACAATAATAACTGAGAACTATTTCTCATCAGTGATTCATTTTTTTGGAATAACTGAAGAATCTTTTAGTGTAAAAAATGCCCATCAAGAGCTGTGTGTAGTCTTCAAATTACAAAAATATATATATATACGAGGAGGAGAAGATATTAAATTTACAATGATAACGTGTTGAACTGTTCAACATTAAATCACAATTAATTGATTATAATTCTTGACGATTCATTTCCTTTTTATCGAATAATCAACTAATCGTTATTGTTTGTTAGAGTCTTAAATTTACCAGAATGTTTTTACTGACGCTCCAAAGATCAATTCTTTAACTTTTAAGTAAAGTACCATTTCTAAAGGGGTTAGAATGATTTTATTGGTAGTTTATAACATATTGACTGTTCAATTGAGAAAATCATGAGTATTTATTTTTGATTTACTGTTTGATTAGCAAATATGAACCAGACCTGGCAACCCGAACGTGGTTATTATTAATGGCTTTAAGCTGTAAGTTAATACAGACGTATACAGCTGTTATAAAGGGGGAACTATCAGGAAGTGGCACCAATAATGTGAATTCTTGTGGATGTTTTTCCACCGTGACGGCTCAGCTACTGATTTATATATGTGTATATTTACAGCAGGTAGGACTGAACTGCTCTAACTTCAGTGTCATATTGGGTGTTCTGTCAGTGGATGAAAACCAGAAGCAGTTTGATAAACTTTTATTTACACACGGCCGACGGCGTTGGTTTGAGTACATGCAGATCAGTGCTGGTGGTAATGGACCCACACAGATCACTGAGTGGTTCAACTGATCAGGAATCAGATAATTGTAGTGTTTCTGTGAGTCTGTTTCTTCCTGCATGCTGCTACCAAACACAGTATTTAGATATTATAGATTTACATTTGATATGGATGATCAGGTGAGGCTCTACAGACACACACACCTCATCCCTGAACATTTCTGACCCTGTCTGAACACGACAGGGGCACAATTCTTGCCAATAACCCGACGTATTAAAGGACCAGTGTGTGGGATATAGTGTTAAAGTTTCAGACTGCAACCAACTGAATACAGCTCAGCCTTCTGAGTGTGTAGGAGAAACTACGATGGCCACGAAAGGCCCCATCTAGAGTCAGCGTTTGTTTGTCTGTTCAGTAGGAACATGGCGGATTATACACTAATGAAAACATACAATAGATCCTCCTCAATGTTACACACTGGACCTTTAACATAAGCTCGTAGAAACGTCCTCCACGGGGATTTATTAGCATCTTTATTAGCAGGATCTCAATCGGTCTGCGATGCTTCTTGGTTGCATTTATACTTTTTGATATCGGACAGCTGAAGAAGTGTGTTCAGTATCTCCAACCAGACTTTTTAGGTTTTAATCATTTTGTGTTTATTTTTGTATCGACGTTTATTTTTAGCCTTGAAAAACTGTATTTACTGTATGTACTGTGGTTCTTTGTTGTTTTTACAGGTTGTTTCGGTTTGTAAAGTGAAGCACTTTGGTATGAAAAGCTGCTGTATAAATAAAGTTGACTAAAAGCTGAAGCATTGTGTCATTAGTGTTACTATTATTATAATTATACATTCAAATATATCACATATTGTGTTTATTGTTCTTTTTAAAATTCACGTCGTTTGGTCAGTGCACATTACGACCAACGGATTTTCCCGACAACCATTTATACATAGGAGGAGATAAAACGTAAAACAACCCAGCTAACGGGTCGTTTTTTTTGTTGTTCTCACTTTAAAACGAGAATCCGTTGGTCACACAGTCCACTGACCCAGTTTGGTCTCACAGCTCCAATCAGACGCTTTTAAATGGAGTTTGCAGTGACGTGGTGTCGGCTCGGGTCAGAGCGGGATGTCTGGGGGTCTACCCGCCACCGTAAATGTCTGTCGGGTATGTTTGGCCTCTGAATAGCGTGTGCTGTCTTGGCAGGACCACTGTGAGGTATCGGGACTGCTGGCTTCACAGGGCTCGAGCTCTCGCTGCTGTTCACGAGGAGGAGCCCGCTGCGAGGCGTACCGGCAAAAAACAAAAGCTTATCTGACTACAAAGAATAAAATAAAAAGTACCGCGTTAGAGTTAGTGTTGTAAAGCTGCTCTCACCCGTCTCTCCGTCTGCTTCGTCTTCTCTCTCTCTCTCCTATAGTGTTAGTACTTTTACACCTCCTCCTCCTCCTCCTCTTCCACCTTGCTAACAAAATAAAAATACTGGTTATGAATGGCTATGATGCACGCCGCCTCATCCACTCTCACGTTCGCTCACACACACGCTCAGTCACAAACGCACACACACTCCTCCTCCTCCTCCTCCTGGCCTTCCCTTCATCAGAAGAAGGAGTACTGGTTATCGATGGCTCGGGGCGCCCTCGCTCCCTCCCTCTCTTCTCCCTCCACAGCTTCTAGTTGGCGGAGAGGAGTGTCCCTGTCCCTCTCCTCCCAGTCCTCTACTCCTCCTCCGCTTCCACCTCCGCTGCCTCCACTTCCTCCTCCTCCTCCT